GACCTAAGTTCTAAAAAACTACTGCTATTTTATTGCATTGTCTTTATCTGGGATATGAACAATCTTCAAGGCAGATATTGTATCAGGGAATGGCCATAATTTGGGATCCCCACTGGATTTTTTATTCCTGGGCTGGCAAGTTCACCTTAATGTCTTAGTTTATCATTATGATGCTGTCCTCTGATGTTTATGTTTCACTGTTTGGGATCATTGCTGTTTTGTGCTGTTCAGCAATTGCAGAACTTGGTTTTTAGCATCTAAGTCTGTTTCTCCTGGTTCTTTTAGGTAGAGGCTCTTCATTTCTTTTTCCTGGAATTGGGGTGGTTCCGTGCAGGTTAAGGTCATGCATGTATGAGTGCTAGATAATTGAGACACATACTATCTTATTTATTTTTAAAATCTTTCATCTTTGAAATTCTCATCTTCTCAACACTGCATGTTTCTGGGCCTCATCTCTAGGATTGAATACAACCTAGAATACAACCTAGAATAAATCTCTAGGACTAAATATAATCTTTAACACCTAGTTCTAAAATTCTAGGATTTGGCTGGGCTCGGTGGCTCAGCCTGTAATCCCAGCACTTTGGGAGGCCGAGGTGAGTGGATTGCCTGAGCCTGCGGGTTCGAGACCCGCCTGGGCAACTTGACGAGACCTCATCTCTACAATAAATCAAAAATTAGCTGGGTGTGGTAGTGCGCGCCTGTAGTTCCAACTACTTGGAAGGCTGAGGCAGAAGGATCGCTGGAGCCCAGCCGGTTGAGGCTGCAGTAGCCAGGAGCGGCCACTGCACTCCATCTGGGTGACAGAGTGAGACTCCAACTCAAAAGAAATAAATAAATAAAATAAAATTCTAGGATTTTAATTTATGAAGACTTGAATTTTTACTGATAAAGATTTTAGAGGAAGAATTTGATACAACAGTCACTCTAAAAGAAATCTTGCACCTGAAAGATTCAATGGGAGGGTTGCTGAAATATACAAACCCAGGCTTCAGGTTAAAACTGAGAAATGCAAGTTGCACTTTTCCTAAGAGATCTCTGATACTTGAAATGCTAATTGCTTGGCAATTTTGCCGAATTTATTTGTTTTTATTTTTCTAAATTTTATGTTCCTTTTTGAGATGCTTACTGGGAGTGTTGATAACAATTGCTATATCTGTGTCTCAGTCTTCTAGAAGAAAAATATCATGCCTAACTTCCATCCCCTGTCTTCTAAAAGAGTTTTCCACAACTCATTATGGATTACTTTAATTGTGCTCCTTGAATGTTGCATCAAAGAAAATAACCTAGGCTTTTGTGATATTTAGTGTTTTATTGTTTTCCTAAAACAGTGAATGCAGTTCAGTATTAATATTTTGTTAAAGAGTGGAAATTGTGAACCTTCTCTCAAAAATTAGTTCATTCACAAGGGTGGGATTGACTGATGCTGGACACTGATACTGGAGGGAGGGAGAGAAGCACTTGGCAACACACTGGGTACCAGGTCCACTATTAGGGGGGAGAGAGGGCCAGCTAGAAGCCCAAAATTCACCTGCATGCAGCTTACTTATGTAGTAAATTTTGACTTGTACCCCACACTCTTAAAGTACAATAAAACAATTAGTGCATTCACGGAGTGATTCAAGCTCTGGGATGCCACACTCCTTGAATGTGCTAGAAGTGACACTTTCATAGAGGTTTGCTCAGTTGACAGGTGTAAGCCCATCTGCAAAAAATGGAAGCCAAGATCTTGATAATTCTTTAACTGAAAGAAAGCTTGAAATGCATACTGTGCTACTGAAATATACTAGCTTCTTGATAAGGCCCAGCCCAGTGTGAATCTGTAAAAATTGGAACAATGTCATAAAATAAAGCAAAAAAAAAAAAAACTTTTTAGACAACTTTAACTTTTCCTCTTATAAATGTGTATATTCTTATCAACTCATCTATTCAGAAAATTGCAGGCTTCTGATTGTCACGCATTCTACTTGCTAATGACTACAGCATCCTAAAGAACATCCTACACATACCTCAGAATTTCTGGAAATGCAAATTAAAAGTAATGTTAATGCTCAAGACAGTGAAACAAATTGATAGATTGCCTACCACCACAATTATTCCAACATCAGAGTTAATATGTTTCTCAGGTGGATAAATTCAAAATGCGAATTTTCCTAAAGTAAATATAGATCATTTCATTTTGGGTGAATTGAATTGGAGAAAGATTATGACTCAGCCTTGAATTTTATTACGCACCATTTTCACTTGGATGCTTTATCATCACTTCAAATTCCATGTATCCAAGTCTGCATTGGGTCTTTTTCTTCTGAATAAGACTGCTTTCCCAGATTTCCTGTTTCTAGAAATAGCATGACTATTCCCATTTCTATGAATATCACTGAGTTGTCCAAAAGCAAAATTTTGAGTTATCTGAGATTCCTCTGATTTCTTTATTTGTTTAAACCTTTTTGTTATCATACAGTGTCAATTCTTCCTTTCCACTAGTTGTAGGTTTAGGGATCTTCACACTACCCTTGTGTCATTCCAAGCCTTCATTATTTCCACTTATTCAGTGATCCTACAAATAGGTAGTGACTATCTATCATGTACCAGATACTGTGTTAGGCACTATGGATACAATGATGAATAACAAAAGATGAAACCTCTACCCATATGGTCTAGTGAAGAAGACAGACATCAATAAGCAAATATGAACAAATGTAGAACTTCAGCTGTGTCACATTCTGTGAGGAAGAGGTACGAGGGGTCATAAGAGCCTAGAATAAATTGGTTTGAGCTAGGCGTGGAAGTCAGGGAAGGTAGGTGTGGAAGTCCCTGAAGAGGTGATACGTAAGCTGAGATCTGAAGGAAGGGTAGAAGTTAATCAGATGAAGAAGAGTGGGAAGAATATTCTAAACAGATGTTATAGCACATGCAATGGTGTGGTGGGAAAGAGAATGCCAGGTGTTGGAGGACTAAAAAGAGGCTGTGGGTTGAAGCACAGTAAACAAGAGGGGACTTAAAAATTGAGACTGGAAAAATAGGTAAGGACCAAACCATGCATAGCTTTATACGTTCTATTAAGGACATTTTAATTTTTATCTTATAAGCAATGCAAAGCCACTGTAGGGAACTGAGTGTGTAAATGTGTGTGTGTGTGTGTGTGTGTATGAGTGTGTGTGTGTGCATGCGTGTGCATATGTGTGTGTATGAGAGGGAGAGAATTACATTTTCATTTTTAAAAGATTCTTCTGGTCACATTATGGAATAGATTGGAAGGGGCCCAAGAGTAGTGGCAGAGACTTCAGTTGGGAGGCTACTGCAGTAGTCTGAGTGAAAGATGGTAGTGGCTGGTCAGGGTGGTAAGTGACAAAGATGGAGAGAAGTTGAGGCAGTCAAGAGATATTTAAGGTGCTCGCTTCGGCAGCACATATACTAAAATTGGAACAATACAGAGAAGATTAGCATGGCCCCTGAGCAAGGATGACACGCAAATTCGTGAAGCGTTCCATATTTTTGTTGGGGGATGGGAAAACACTTCTTATCTACAGGGTGCCTGAATGAAACATCATTGTACACCTAACCCTTAACTGTACCCCACAAAACCATAATAAAAAATACTGATTAATGAAAAAAAAAGATGTATTTAAGAGCTGTGATCCATGGGACAAAATGATGACTGTAGTAGGAAACAAAGAGAATGAAGAAGACAGAGTGAGAGGATTTGCATAACTGATTGTATGATGGCACCTTTCACTGAGGGAATTCCAGAAGAGGATCTAGTTTGGGGAGAAGATCATAAGTTCAAGTTGGGACATGTTGAGTTTGATGTGTTAATGAGCTATCCAAGAGATGGTGCCAAGTAAGCCATTGGTTATATAAAGGTAGAACTCAAAATAGAGATCTTATCTAGAGATATAACTTTGAGATTCATCTGTGATTGGTGTAAACTGAAATTCTGGGTGGAAGAAACTATTAAGTGAGACGGGAAGAGGTGCTGGGACAAAGCCTTGGTCAGGTAAAACAGGATGAGTCTGCAAAGGCATGGCCATAAAAGTAGGGGCAACTCAAGAGTGTGCTGTGTAATTTTCATTTTTAAGCCAATCAAAACAGTATTTTAAGCTCATTACTACTACTAAAGAAATTTTAATGTGGGAGTTCCCAGTTAAAAACATTTCCAATCTATAATGTTCAAATGAGTGATAGAAATTTGACCAAGTCAACTATTTTTTGAGCATTTACTCTGTGCCAGGAACTATGCTAAGTGTTTTCTACACATAACCTCACTTAGGTCTCACAACAATGTTGTAAAGTAGGTGTTATTATGATCCTCACATTACAGAGGAGGTAATTGAAGCACAGAGAAGTTAAGTAAATAGTCCAAGGTTATGTAATGAATGTGAAAGTTATGGAGCCAGGACTTGAAATGACATCTATATGAATCTAAAACTGGTTCCTTTTAAAGGAAGATTTTTTAAAAATATTTTAAATATTTTTTAGGCATACAAATGTTCATTATGCAGGTACCCTTGTTGAAGAAGTGTGTCCTCTCCCTCCCCTGGCAGTTTCCCACTACTGCCAATTCCTTTCTTATAGTATTACGATAGTCGTTCAAGGTTAAAGGAAGATTTTAAACTATGCAACTTAATTTATTTGATAGATATAAGACTATTCAAGTCATCTATTTCTTTTTAAATGAGTTTTGGTAGTTGGCCCCTTTCCCAAAGCCAGTCCTCTTACTCAGTGTACTACGCCCTCTTTCAGGAATGTTTATCTATTTCTTGTGGAGATACTATGGAATGAATGTCTTCCCACTAGTTACTTAACCTGGGTGCTATGAGAACCATATAGAGATTTTAAGAAGTAGAAAATCATCTTAAGAAAAACCAAGTAATCAAATGATTTGATTATATCTGTGGCACTTCTCTTTCTTAAAAGATGAAATAATATACCCCTTTTTAAAATAAGTATTCCTGATTTCTAAAACTGAATCCATGTAACACATGCTTTCAATTTTTCAGTTATTTCTGAAAATATGACAATTCAAGAAGAAAGTACAACTTTTTCACAACAAATATTTGATCTGACAACTTCATCCCAAATCACTGGACTGAAACCACAACAGACTGAACATACAATGTTGTCTAAAAGCACACCTATATTTGAGACCGATTATACAACCATGTCACATTCCAATACAACATCTCCACCTCTGGAAACAATGACTGCACCCAAATTTTTAAAGACATCCACAGCTGGGACAGCTACATTTGCAGCCGATATTTTAACTACTGCAGCAGCCATCACTCTGCCTACCCAGAGTACATCCATAGACACGACTCCAAGTTCCATGAAAGTAACTAAGCCCTCTTACTCAGAAAGCACAAGGACAACAAAAATGGCTGAAACCATGGCTACTGAGACCTTTCGTCCAAATACAGCTACTAATTTTTTATCCACATCTGGATTTGCCAAGAACTCAATTGTATCCACAACTTCAGCAATTGTATCTCAGTCAGCTGTTATGAAGACAGCATCTTTCTTCTCAACTATTGAGTCAACATCCATATCTACAGCATCTTGTCCCCCCCCAGAATTTACAGATACTAAGGCACTCCCTGGCTCTACAGCTGACCAGGAGTTTATTGCATCTACAGCTTCCAGAATTGTACCTTTGTCCACAGTGCAAAAGACTTCAGCTGCAACTACTCACATTGGGACTGCATTAGCATCACTCTCTGAGTCTGTGCTCATCTCCACAGCAGCTCCAGTAGATTCTGTATTTCCTAGAAATCAGACATCATCTACATTGGCAACAACTGACATGGAAAGAGAGTTTACAGTCCATTCAGTGACTCTTCCAACTAAAAATATTGTGACCACATCTGCCCTAAGAACAGTTGAAACAAAATTGACATCTACAGATTTTCAGGATGTCTCTTCATCCAGAGTGGAGGGTGCCATGTCTACCTCCATGCCAAAAGAGGCCTCCTCTATGGCCCTTTCCTTCATTACATCTTTTCCATTTACTGGAACTCAGAATGTACAGACAGCTAATGATGCTAAAACTACAAGTACAGCCTTACCTCCTGAAACCACACTGGCACCTACAGTGGCTGAAACTGTGCTTTCCCCTACAATTGCAGGGCCAGCATACACTCAGAATACACCCACCACAGGTGAACATGTGCTTACTTTGATTTCCACTAGATCAGCTTCCACATCGAATGTATCTGAGTCAAGTCCCACATCAATAACTGATGAAGCTGTCCCTCTATTTTCTACCAATGAGACCACTTGGACTTCCAGACCAGATCAGACTCTGCTGACGTCTATGAATACAACCACCATACTTACATTTGTGCCCAATGAAAATTTCACATCAGCACTCCATGGAAGTACTACAAATACAGAATATTTATCCACAACTACTAATATTATTACCCCACCAAAAGCATCCAGAGAGAGCAAGGCTACCATTATTACAGATGCTACTGCTGCCAGATATACAACAACTTTATCTAAACTGACATCTCCATGGATTGCTAATTTTTCCACGGTTTCTGAAATTATATCTGTAACTAATCCATCTGAGTTTAAGCTTACCACTTTGCTACTAAAAACTATCCCTATGTCCACATTATCAGCAAGTGAACCGCTTTCAACACCAAAGGAGACAGTTGTTTCACCAGTAGATACAATGTCTACTCTTGCTTACATTAAACCAAATTTTTCTACTGAGGAAAGTGCTTCTGAGACGACACAAACAGAAACAAATGGTACATTTGCTTTTGAAGATACAACAGCCTCTGTACGAAAGTCTGCAACAACACAAAGATTTAATGCTACTGTGACAAGAAAAGAAACAACTTCCCATTATCTTAAGGGAAGATCAACTGTAGCAGCAGTAACTGAGGTTTCTCCATTTTCAGCAATGTTGGAAGTGACAGATGAATCGGCACAAATGGTGACAGCTTCTGTCACTGTTTCCCCTTTTCCTGATATACAAAATTTGATGACCCCATTGGATAATAAAACTGCAACTACTGAGGTGAGAGAAAGTTGGCTTTCGACAAAATTGGTGAAAACCACACCTAAGAGTTCATACAATGGAACTACAGAAGTCTTTAATTCTACCCATACTTATACAGCACATAGGACTTTAGGGACAACTGAGGGGATTTCGGCTTTATCTTCCACTTCTGGGAGCACACAGGTGTTCCCTGAACCCCTGGGTGCTTCCACCACAAGGACATTGAAAACCAGTTTCCCAACCATCCCTACAGACAGGACAGCTATGTCTTTGTCTGCTAGTATCTTGCCTCCACAGCCTGTAGTTACACATTCCTCAGCAACCTCTATGCCTGTTACTCATATGTTCTCGTTGCCAGTTAATGTCTCTGCTGTGGAGTCTGAGGAGACTAAGGTGACCATATCCAAGCCTTCTACACTGACCAGGGCTTTGTCTACATCTATGCTCTCAGATATCTCAAATCTGTCATCAGCTACAGTGACCACAGCATTGGTACGACCATTGGATCAGACTGCTTCCACAACCAGCTTTACTGTGCCTACCCACAGAGACTCGAGTCGAACCACTTCAGAGGCCACAGTGATCTCTGTCACGGTGATGCCCATAGCAGTTACCTCTCTGACAGAAACTCCACTCCCTTCGTTGAGACCTGTTATTCCTGGGACAGTTAGAGCCGACACCACCCTAACCCCATCCACACACACTCTTGTATGCTCAAAACCTCCCCTTGAAGGCGTCCCTATTGTGTCCTCCACTCACATAATCTCAACTTTATCTACATCAGAAGCAACTCAACCCATAGCTCAAGTCGGGGAGACTTCTACCTATGCTCTCAGCTTCCCGTATACTTTCAGTGGTGGAGGAGATGTATTTAGCTTGACTACAAGCACCACAGAGACCTCTGTTGTTGATGACACCATGCTCTCACATGCCTCTACCAAGAAGCTTACTACCTCAGTAGATGATCACATTTCTCAGTCTGCCACACGACTTGTAAACACACCAGTCTCCACCCAATCGGTGACTGAAAACTTATCTTCTGACAAACAGCAGATGACCACCTCCCTGGGAAAAACCCCTAGAACCATGGAGGTTACAGAAATGTCCCCATCAATGAATTCTTTTATTTCTTACTCCCAGGGTACTTCATCCTTGGAAATGACAGATACAGGATTTTCTGAGACCACAAAGATTTTCAGTCACCAAACACATTCACCTTCAGAGATTCCATTTGGAACTCCATCTGATGAAAATTCAACTTCATCTCCCATTTTTGGAAGTGCACAGACCACACCTACTTTGGCCTCAAGTAACACAGAAGATGTTCACACTTCAGAAATGTCTACCAGTCTCGAGGAGACAGCATCCCCTTCTCAGGCTCTGACAATCAGCACTTTTTTGTCTCCTGAAAGAGAAAGCATGAGTATATACACTCCCAGGACTGTGGAAATGACAGTAAGGTCCACCTCTGTGACTCATCCTGTCTCACACCACCAGGATACTTCAATTGTAGGCATGACAACTTCTAGCGCAACCAGAATGTCAAATCCTGTGAACATTAACACAACTCTTTCACACTTGCCTTCACTTAGAACACAACCTGAAGTGATTTCAGATGCTTCTTTCACTTCTGAAAATGCACAGACTTTCCCTGAGTCCTTGTCTCTTTCCACAGCTGGACTATATAATGCAAATTTTACAATGGTCTCCACTGAGAAGATCACTTCAGCTGTTTCTGTTCCAAATGTACCTACAACACTTCTTAGAGAAACCCCTATGGCAACGTCCACTCCTATTTACCAAAAGTTTTCATTGCCAGTTAATGTCACAACTTTCACCTCCAAAAAAGCTTCCGACACTCCCACAATACTAATAGCCAAGTCTTCTAAAACAACACACCCAGGTTGTTTGAAAAGTCTCTCTAGCACCACTTCTGGGCCTATGTCTGAGATGTCCTCAATGACAGTTAATGGCTCTGCTTTCTCGCTTGCAGCAGTTTCTTCTGACACTTCCACAACAGTTGGATCTTCCTCTACTTTTTTGTCTCCAGTTACTCCTAGGACTACTACAACCATGCAAACATCTACATTGGATGTCACACCTGTGACGTATGCTGAGCCTACTTCAGAAAGCACAATGGTTTCCTCTGGCTTCACTACTTCAGAAATGATAGAGGCATCTTCCAGGATCACATCTCCAACCTTTTCCTCTCCAGCAGAACCAACTTTTCTCTCTTTGAAAACCATTCCAACCACTATTATGGCTGGGATAGTGACTCCATTCGTAGGCACTACTGCCTCCTCTCTACTCAGTTCTAAGAATATTGAAGCTATTTCCTTCATTCCAAAGACCACATTTTCACCATTTCTATCAATAACCCAACAGTCATCACCAGGAGATGGGGCTACAACTCTGGGCATATCACCTGGGATTACTAGCAGCTCCCTACCTATGGTGAGCAGTGGTAGAGTGGTAGCTCTCACAAATACTTATTCTAGAACCACTGTCCCAGAAGGTGTGCTTCTACCTACTTCTTCAGATAATCTCCATACTTCCTTGAATATTCAGGTTTTCCCATCTTTGACTAGCTTTAAGAGCACCCCTGAACCCACAAAAAGTGCAAAAGCCACCACCACTTACCTTCCTTCTAATACAGGAGAGATGATTTCCTTGTCAGACAATACTTCCTTAACAGCTAAACTAACAAAAAGCACCACATCTGTGAATAGCACCATTTCATACTCTCCACGGCCCTCATCCAGCACAAGTCCACCCCATTTGACATCATTTCTGTATTCACCTCACAGTACTGAAGTTGAACTCTCTACTCCAAAGACTTTTCTTCCTCCTACATCCCAAATGGTTGAATTTCCAGTTCTGGGAACAAGAATCACCTCTAGTAATACCCAGTCACTGTTTACGACCTCCTGGAACACACCCACAGATGAAGATTCTCAGCTTCCAATTTCCACCACTCCTCATGTATCCATACACAATAAGATGGAAGCAGAGACCCTGCACCTTGTTCCTGGGTCTTTGTCAGCATTTACAGCCTTTCAGACTGGTCTAGTATCCAGAGATATCATGGCAATGTCATCAATTCCCACATCAGGAATTCTTCCTTCCTACAAGCTTTCTGAGAGCCCTTCCTTACCAACATCTTCAAGAGCTATTCCTACCACTTTGGCCAACATTAAGCACACATTTGAGAAAATTACTCCTGGGACCACACTCTCATCAAATCCTTCTGGTGCCACTTCAGGATCTGTCATTCCGAAGGCTACTACTTCGCCCATACTGACTTGGATCTTATCTAGTCGCCCTTCAGGTTCTCCTCTGGCAACTGTACCTAATGCTCCTCATGCTATAACTTCCTCTACAGTAGAAGTGTCAAAATCCACATTTCTGACTTCTGATGTGATACCAATGCACTCATTCACTAACTTTACAACACTACCCTTTGCTACTGTAACCACTCCTACACCGACACCAGGTGGTATCACTACTGCCTTCCCAAGTTCTCTCCCTATGTCTATAAAAATCACAGATGACAGTGTATACATTTCCACACCTGCTGATGCATCCTCCAGCACTAGTTTGACTTCTAACTCTAAGACTGTGTCTCAACCTCCATCCTTTAGCAGAATGAGTATGTCACCATCTACAACTGATCACACTCTGTCTAGGGGCTCCATGCCTCTGCCTAGCCCTACAAAAACATCTGCATGGAGCAAGATTCCAGCTGCATCAACACCCTCTACTTTAATTCTTCCAAAGCCCACACTGGACTCCCTTCCAAATATAATCACGACTACATCCACTACTCCTGGAGCCTCATTTCCACTTGTATCCACTGAAGTGACACATCCTTCTGCAGCAACTGTGTCTTCACTAATATCTTCCTCTTTTGAGACAACGTGGCTGGACTCCACATCTTCCTTTCTGTATTCAGAAGCATTGACTTCGCCTACTGCCACTGAGTCCATAGGTACTGAACCATAATGCGTGCAGTGCACCCCCAATAGAACATATGCACTATGGGCCATGTGTTCTCCAAGTTGGCCAGTTCTCTAAAGGCAGAAAATAATGAAGAAGAGTGTAGGTGTTTCTTATCTCCTTCAGGCAGTGGGTAGAGTAGGTACCTTGCCCAAATATGGAATTCTCTAGCCATCTTTCTTGTCTTTGCTTTATTGAACTATAATGCAAACGTATTTTGTTATGAAGCATGACAATTTCTAAGCCTCCTTTCCAACCATTTTGTTAATATTCTAACTCTGATTCTGCCAAGGCGCACATGGACTAGGAACCTTTCCCCCTTCATAATAAGAGGATCATAGGGTAAGCAGGTGCAGTGGCTCAAGTCTGTAATCTCAGCACTTTGGGAGGCTGAGGCGAAAGGATTGCCTGAGTTCAGGGGTTTGAGACCAGCCTGGGCAACTTGGTGAGACCTCATCTCTCCAATAGATTAAAAAATAAGCTGGATGTGGTAGCACACGCCTGTAGTTCCAGCTACTTGGAAGACTGAGGCAGAAGGAACTCCTGAGCCCAGCAGCTTGAGGCTGCGGTGGCCATGAGTGTGCCACTGTACTCCAG